TTTATTTCCCTCTTGATATTAAATAAAGCGTAATCATTGTCAATTAATTTTGATGACTATTACTAATTTTTAAATCATCTTGCAATTTTACGCATAATTCATCGAAACTCCTAATGGACATTCGAAAATAATTAAAAAATTTGGAGCTATCCTCTCGTAGCTCATGAAATAATGTTACAAATTCACCCATCAATTGTCTGTTTTCAAGTAGTGGATGAATCCAAAATATTCTTGTTTTTTGTGTTTTTCTGCGATTATGCCATATCATTAGTAACAACATGCGTTTTTTTCTTTCGTCCATTTTGGTCACGTATCAAAACGAAACTAAACCCGAAGTGAAAAACCGTGTGCAGTGTGAACGCAAAGCAAAATGAAATTACGGCAAGGCACTGCTCGGTTGCCGTTAGAAAATCGTCTGTCTGAAAGCAGGGTAAAGAAGTTCGCCACTCGTGCTAGCAAAACGCTAGGAAGCTACTCCAACCGACGACGGCATTTAGACCCGAATCAGAACAGCTTCAGTTTATCAGAACATTTTTACTTTATAAGGAGAGGGTTCATATAATTTTAACTCTGAAAATGCTTATTAGAATATCACACACACACACACACACACACACACACGTTTTGAATTAATCTTGAGTTTATGATTAAAGCAGATAATTGTGGTACATTCCTTCATACGAACTTGTCGATATAAGTGACAGACATGAGTACCAACATAACGACAAAGAAATCGAAAATCGAATATACGTAACCCGCGGAAATTATTTTTGAACAGACCTCATATAACTGTACGGTAAATATTTTTAAACTACTTCACGTCTATGTCACCGTATGTATAATTATACCACAAACCATTTGTCGTTGTCAAATCATTATTAAAATCACTCGATTGTATGAACTCCGCTGTTTGGGCAACAGCTACATCCATACATATCCGAATTTGGTTGCTGAAGGATTATTCCCAATGACGACAAACAAACTGGTCACTGCTTTCATGGAGATAATATAGTTATAAAAATGGTAATTCCCACCGTATCGAATGAAACTAAATATTTAGGCCCCTAGAAGTTCCATTTTTGATTTTAAACCACAACAAAATTATAATGATGCAGAATATTTTTAAAGACATAGGTACCTATACGTTTTATATACATGCTACACGATGTCCCGTAGCTGCTTCATGTAACAACAAAACAGTAATCGTACGTAGGGTTAGATTGCAAATATGTTATGGGATTGTTTGGTTTCCTTAAATTTATTTTTACTTATTTTCCCTTACTAGGTACTAATATATTTGTTATGAAATTCGCGATATTCAAACATATTTGACTTTTTAAAGACCTTGTGACAAGCTATAATTAATAATTTGTATATTTTAGGATGAAACTCCCTTTCAAGATAAAGCCACTCGGCATAAATTTATCCGTAAAGTACAGATAATTCACTTTTTTATTCTACTTTTTACTATAGCGGGTGTTGCCGTATTCGATTTTGTGTAAGAATTTACAATTCGTTATAGTTAACATAATTTGAGCTACTTTTTTATTACAGACCAGATTTACATGAAGAAGAAGAGAGCACTATGATAGGGAGCATAATAGATATAGACGAGTGGGACACTCATTCTGAATACTTAATTCTATTTTGGATAGCCCTGTAAGTATAGAGAATATCCTTACCCAAATATGCCACAGCCATGTTAGCATCCAGCTTCATTTTTAAATAAAATGAAAATGGCATTGACAGTATTGTATGAAAATCATAGTTGCGATCTTAACAACCTTGACAATATACCTATTAGTTTTGAGAAAGAATCACAAGATTTAAGGGAAAAGTCTCAAATAAGTCATCACAATGAAGTACATAGAGACATGAGTCAAAGTCACCACAAAGCAGTTGATTTTCCGACAGTCACACCAGATTATGAGACAATTGAAGAACTTCAAATAAAAGAACAACCAAATTTAAATAATTTCTTGGCATTACAATCAGTAATAAAGGATAACAAATTGCCTACGGAATCACCCCATTTAAACAGTCAATCGGTTACCACAGAAAATGAAACTGTGAATGAGGAAAAGCAATTACTTAATAGATACATTGTCACTCCAAAAGATTTAACATTTCAACAGCAACTGAATGTGTACTGCAATCCAATATTGAATATGGTAACTATTTATTTACGGTACATAACTAGCTGCAGTTTTTTACCTTTCGTAGGAGTAGTGGCTCTCCTATTGGCTACTGCGTATTTTTTTATTATTATTCTGATGAAGAATTCGTATGAATTTTACATNCTTATGGAGATGATGTTTTCTCCAGCGAGTCTATAATAGCACTGCTTTAAAATTTTATAAAATCTATGAACCTACTATCTCTAACAATAATGTACAAACATAATATTATCCTACCCCCAGGTAGGCGGTCATTGGACCTACAAGAACGCAGCCGAGGGGAGTTTTGGCTATTAACAATAATAAAATTGTGAATGTACGTGACAATCACAATAGCACACTCTTTATAATTTACCCGACTACCCCGTATACCTAACAGTACTTATATCAATTTTATCCCAAATCTCTGTCTTCAGATCAAAATTAGTAAAGCGTTTAAAGACTACGTCAGGTGTGGGCTCTAATGATGCTAATCTACACAACTATTTATACTTATAGTAGTTTCAATAAATAAACCATATCTGAATATAGTTAGGGTTAGGGATTTTGGGTACACCCATATACCGATTATGGCTTCCATATATAAATGTAAACATAAAAATAAAATAATATCACAAAAAATCAATTTATACAAATGTCATAGTCTTCATCAGGCTCAGTTTGAAACTCCAAAGTGGAAGAAAGTGCTGGAGAGGGTTGAGTTGCAGGTAATGATGGCCGCGCTTGCATTTCTGGTTGCACCTCGCAACAAAATTCCAACTTCTGCTCTTCGGTGAAAAGTGAAACACAAGCTCTCAAAAATGCCCGATCGGGATTGATATTCACCTGCTGTGGTTGGGAGATTTGCGAAGGAGTTTTGATGAAATTTATTAAGTCTCTTTACTAAGTTTTTCTTCGTTTTGACCGACGGTCTGAATCTGAATCAACGAATATTTCTTCTGAAGGCCTTTCTTCAGGCTCCATTTCATTCTCCGGAAAGCCGCATTGCATATATGTATGTTCGTCCTGAATCATCCTCCTGTTCAGATTTTGTCGTCTTTTTTACATTTTAATGTTACAGTTCTAGTAGCAAACATTTTTTTTTTTGCGTCAATTTTCCGCAAGTTTGCACCAGTTCCGTAGGAATCTGCGGCTCAAAACGGCCGCGATTTGAACGTGCGACCCCGCGGCGGCACTCAGACGAATGTGCATTAACCCATTTGCCTGTCAGTACTTTAAGCCGAAATTGCGGCGGCGCCTCGGCAGCGGTAATTATACTTTTTTTACTTTCTCTAGCGACATGCCCCTTTCAATGTCTTGGATGCGCGCTGGCAAAGCCGTAGGTAGGGAAAAAAAAGCTTATTATACTCTCGACTCTTGTTCATTAAGTACCTGCCAAAAGTTTTGTTCAATCATGAATACTAGTGCGGGTCGAAAACAAGCGTTAAAGCCTTAAATATGTCTTTAAATATAAATAAACATCTCGTTGATGTTTTCAGTAGTAAATGGTACCAATTACAGCACATTTGAGTAATGCAATTGTGGTGAATAAAATGTTCAAGTTTTCCGCGCAGTACTGTGGGGATTAAACGCTCCTCACCTGTTAAGTGTTTGACCGAGAGTTGCCTCCTTCCTTTTCTGGCCCAGTGCTGTTCTTTTCTACTTTGCGCCAATCAAACTGAAGGTCACATCGCTATAAAAAGTAAACGATGTATACCGCAAGTGTGCACCGGCGCTAAGTTAACCCTTCTCCTAGAAAATCTTAGATTACATATTACATGAGTCAAGCATAACGGAACTGGAATTGAAGATACCTATCACTATCAAGCTTTATTTTATTTTAATTCATTCATTTCTACATGTTATTTTGAGAAAATTTATGCTAAACATTTTAACAAGTTTTATTGATTACTGAGCGTAATCCATGGGTTTTGTAATGTTTACTTTCATTTTAGGTAATTATACAAATTGTATGTTTTGCATCTTTCGATGTATACTTTTATCGATACGCTGCAATAACTGGACTGATTATTGCTGCGCTGGTATTGATTATTATTATGTTAATATCCAGGCAGTCAAAGGTAATTTATTTACAATTTCTATTTCTGCTATTTAAATAGAAAAGTAAATAGTGTATCTTACTATATCAGTAAATAGTAAAAGTATGTGTAAAAGTTCAAGAAAGTTGAAAAAATACGAAGAGGTAGCATGTAAAGAGGAGATTTTAAAAATATTTTGTATATGACCATAATACAAAAAAAATGACTTTCAAACTTATGAAAGTTGAATTTAAGTTTAGACGGAAAATTGTCAGGACGCGAAATTTTTAGACATAGGTACTACACGTTTAGAGTCGTCAAATATTTCACCATTTCGCACGTTTTTATCGAATTTTTATCCTTGGATATTAAAACCTGTTTATACTGTTACAGAAATTCCTTAATGAACTCAGAGCCTTCCAATTTTTAGAGTAAATCAATATTGTCTATTAGGTACTCTTGAAAATTACCGTTTTTTATCTTGTGCGTCTCAGATTATTTACAGCAGCACTGCAATCAATGAGTGACTACAACTTAAAACTAGTAAAAAAGTTTTATTTCCGTAATCATAAGGTCATCAATCCTAAGACTGGTTGGACATGCACCTCCACTCTTTCCTATCCTGAGTTAATTTTCGTATTTCCCCAAAACTAGAACATCCCACACCCTTAACTATTTGTAAACCATAATCTAATATGTTTGTGACTAGCCCTTCATGCAGGTGAAGAGTCCTCTGCTCTCCTATTCTTTCCAATACCTCTTCATTTCTAACCTTCTCTATCCACGTTATCACCATCTTATTCATACCAGTATTTTTGTTGTTTTACTGTTATTTATTTTTATACAATACCGTTTTGCCAATACCGCATCCATTTTATTTAATCCTATCCCTAACTGTTCCTTGGCTCCTTGGTAGATGCTAATACTGCTATATCATCTGCAAATCTAAGCATACTAATTCTTCGCTCCTGTATATCTATCCCTACAGTTGTCCTGTCTTCAATGATGTTGATCGCGTCTTCGATATGTAGAGTATAAACTCAAAAGTAACGGTGACAGTGTCCATCCTTGTCTAACTCTCTTTCTCATACATATTTACTCAAAACATATAAGTTTTACTTTTTATTGCCTACATCTGACTAGAAAACATTTGAATCTAAAGGTACTCTTTAATATTACAGTGGGACATAACTAGCTGCAGTTTTTTACCTTTCGTAGGAGTAGTGGCTCTCCTATTGGCTACTGCGTATTTTTTTATTATTATTCTGATGAAGAATTCGTATGAATTTTACATTATCTTCAGTGGTGTTGGAGCAGCTATATATTGCATGGTATTTAATTGCACTCTTTTATTTGCTTTTTATATTAAATTAATTTTGATTTTAGCTGCATATATTCATGATACAGATTATTATGGCTTACAAGAAATATCAGATAGGTGCAGAAGATTATCTACCGGTAATCGTATATTTTTACATTTTGGATGTTAGAAGATTTATCGGTGTTGATTGAATGTATTAATAAGTATTTTGAGATTTATAAATGGTTCATTTTGACTATGCTTTATTGCTGATTTACAAGAATGTGCAAAACAATTAGGTACTATCTTGACGCTGAATGATCTCTAAGCTTAATTAACTAATCTGCAATGTTTGCTTGATTATCTACGTATTTATTTAACAAACCAATATGTGTTATAAGATAATTATTTTTAAACTGCTTTATACTAACTGTTTTAGTTTTCTTAAAACTGTAACACCAATATAACAAAGGGATGTTGAATCCGTTCACAATACTGTGTATTCTTAAGGCAAATTTTGCCTATCCACAGGTAATATAAATTCGACAATACATGAAAATGTTCGTCGCAGTTTATATGAATTATTTTTTACCTTAATTCTACGTAGTATGAAAGTACCCCATAATCTTCTTTTGTGTTCCCGCCTTTTTACTGCGTTTGCAAATACACAGTTTCGGTTGTACTTGACTTTTTGACATAATAATGTAATTGCTTACATCAATATATATACAGTGGTATTGGAAAACCTGTATGTTGCATGATATTTAGTTGATGGCGTATTGGATCGAACGAACTCGCCCCTTCTTACAGTAGTATTACTGCTCATAATTCCCGTAGGACAGACATGGTTCCAATAGTGATTTAAGATGATAAAGATCGCCTTTTGGTTCTTGTTATTATTATACTAAATTCATTCAGGCATAATTACAATGAATACTTAGTTGTTCATACTGTTAACTTATACTGAGAAAAATTCAACCCTCAAGTCTGTCCATAAATTACGTAAAAGAAAAATTAAGTAAAATTAATATATTTGACATAAGGTCATGTCGCCTAATTAGACCTCTTCTCTCTTCCGCCATTTCATTTTGTAAAGCTTTTAGATTTTAATTAAAAAAATAATGTTTTTTTTAATTTCCCATTATAATTCACTTTAAAATAAACAATTACAATTTCTAAGTTAACATTAAATTGCGGTATCACAACAACGCTGATTGGAAACCTCTCCTTCCTTTTTGAAATAGGCTAAAAATAAATGACTTATTCACTTAATAATAAAAAATTTCA